ATAGCGAGTTGAATGACACAAGCTGCCAGCAGAAAATTTTGGGAATGTGCACAAGTAAAGTTGCATGATGTCATAACATGCTGCAGTCATATAAGTCTAGGCAAAATCAACGGCCTGGATAGTGCTGAATAACTGTTTCTTCAGTGTCATGCTCGAATCCATGCGCACCTTGGGATTACTCAATTACGCTTGTTGATTATGTATACAATTGCAGCTCTAACTACTTCTAACCATGTGAATAAGAAATTGCTATTTGTTTAAGAAATTGGCTTCTTATACCGAATGGGGTAAGGAATGGCTAATGGCTATTTTGCTTAAAAAGTGTAAAACATTCTACAAAAAATTGCCTGCGCTAATTTATTATTTTGAATAATATATGTCTATTGTTATACCTAACTTGTAGATACAAAATATCTTCAAAGTTAAGTCTTGCATCTCTGGATTTGATATAAGAGTTTAAACTTATTCTGACCGTCAATATCAATGATCACAATCTTTTTATGATTATTATATGACCAATAGTAATACTTTGTATTTGTTTATAATAATAATAAGAATATTGATTTTATAAAAAATAGTCTCATAAAATATATGAAATTAAATATCTAAATAATTTTTAAAGAATTTTATTAAGAAGATCCTATAATTAATATTGTTTGTCAGTATGGATCGTCTTAAGTGACTTTTTTACTTTGTTATCAAATTAATATATTTACAATAACTTTTAGAAGAAAAGAAGCTGTAAATCGTAATACACAATAAATAAAAAAAGTACAAAGTTTAACATCATATAGGATATTTAGTAAATGAAATTAAATCAACTATTTACCAAAAGTTTTAACCCTAAGTAAGCCTTAAGAATTTTAATTAATTAAAAAACAATTTTATACTATTTCGTTAATAGTGCAAGAATTTTATCATCAATGGGTTGGATTATAATTCATTATTGATATTTTTTTAAATCACATCCAATCCATTTTCATAATCGTATAATATTCCAGATGAAATTTATCTAGCAGGCAAAATATAGATAACCCTTCTATGTTTGATTTTTAATCCTCAGTTTATAAAAGAAATTAAATGATGGAACTATGATTATTAATTTTATATTAAATATATTTTGAATAGAATGCAAACAGATAAACAATTTTTTGCTTTTTCTCATTCAGATTCAACTATATTACACCAACTATTGAATTATTTTTAAGTTATATTTGAATAACTTGAAAATGAATTCAATTGTAACCTTGATTAAATACGATTTCCTGTCCTATCGTTATTAGATTCATTAGAAAAAGAGGATTATATTTAGAGCTAACTTTAAATTGATGGATCAGATTAAGATACTTATAATAATTATTAAACTGAAATTTGGGAATAAATGAAGGGAAAATGCTTATCCATAATAATTGAAAATAAAACATTATTTGAATTTGAGTTGAATTAATAAATCAAATCTAAGGAGAAAATATTTAATTTATTAATAGGAAAGTCATAAGAAAAATAAGGGTAAAACATATTCAAAGTATATGATAGTTCCAAAATTTTAACAGGCCCAACCTGCCTAGGAATAAGACATGGTTATTTCTATTTTGTAAATAAAGACGGTTCGAAAGAAAAGGTATTATTTTTGATCATAAAGGCTGGAATGATGCATCTAAATTTTGAAATTAATAGTTGGATTTTTTCAGGCAGATATATTTAATTGTACAAATCATTAAGAAAAAATTTTATCGTTATCTTTTAATTTGGTAAAATAAATTATGTAGATGACGGAGAAATAATTGCAGAGTACTTTTAATAATTTGATTATAGAAATATAGTTGATGTTCTGGATATTTCTACTTCTTAGATTCTTTTTAATTTAGATTAAATTTATTAATTAAAATGGCATGGAAATTATGGATCAGATAGAAAGAAAATTGGGAAATGGACCCCTAGTTTATAAAAACAACAAATAGCAAATGCAGGAGGAATTTACGAAGCAAACGGGATTAAAACTGGACATTGGGTAGAACTATATCAAGATTATACAATGTATACATTATATAATAATGCAGAATTTCCAAAGCTTATTTTACTGGATAATATAAAGGTGGATTAAAATAAGGAAAATGGAATACTTATTAGAACAATAATACAATTTTGTAATAACATAACATTTAATGTTATTGATAGAGGAGGAGGTAGTTATGATGAAACTGGAGCAAAAGATGGAAATTGGGTTGAAATTGTTGAAAATTTTCAAGGGTTTAAACCAATTTTATCACACTAGACTTAATTATGTTACATATTAAGGTCAATATGATGGTGGAAAAAGACGTGGTTTATGGAAGGCTAACTACCAAAAGAAAACAATGTAATCGAAATGTTATTTTTTCCAGAAACTTGGGCTGTTATGATGAGAATGGTTTAAAGAATGGAAAGTGGGTTAATTTATATAAGTTTTTTAATTCGTAATGATATAAATTGATTATTTTAGGAGTTGTAGGGTGATTTTTATTGGGTAATATAATCATGGGATGAAGATTGGATAATGGAATATACAATAAAAAAAATAAATTATGTAAGGATATTAATAAAGATTTAAGCGGAGGAGGAATGTATAATGATGAAGGAAAGAAAATAGGAGTATGGAAAGAATTATAGAAAAATTTTTAATTGTAAATAATTTTTTAGTTTTAAACAACTTAGAGACTTTGAAGTATTTTATACAGGGTTATATGAGTAAGGGATAAGACAAGGAGAATGGAAGATTTATTTTTAGGATAGATTAATGTTTATATTTAGATAAATATATTAGAGGAGGAGGTAATTATGATCAACAAGGGATGAAACATGGTGTATGGAAGGATGCGCATTAAAACTTTTCTTAGTACTGTATTTTTCAGATAAGTTTAGTCGAATTTAGGTTACTTATTAAGGCGAATATGTAGAAGGTTGGAAAAAAGGAAGATGGAATATTTTGGTGATTGATTAAATTATGTACATATTTAGAGCTTAACCTTAGAGGAGGAGGGGATTATGATGAAGGAGTAAAGTAGGGTAAATGGATAGAAGTTGATGACAAATATGCTGAGTATACTGATTATCTATCCTAAATAGCTACCGTTCAGTTTTATGCGCTGGAGAATATTCACATGGTATGAGAATTGGAAGGTGGGACTTTCTGTTTCAAGGAAATTTGATGTAATAATGTATTCTTTTGATA